ATTAAGCAACACTTAGTGTAAGAAAATATCTGGTTACCATGGGGATTAGGAGTTATTCCAGGTCTGTTTGACCTCTTTTCTTGACTGCAGGTAATTTATTCCAATAACATCAGAAGTTGCTTCCCAGGAGAGTCCATTCCTTGGGAAGTGTCTAGAACTCTTTAATGTCACTGGTCTGAAAGGTGAGACTTTCCAGAATTATTCTTCTGAATATTCAGCCCATATTTCCTTGTGTAATAATAATGGCATTATTTACTGTACACTGACTATAATGCTGGCACACGGTTTCATTTGATTCCCAAAACCTTTGGTGGCATTATTGTCAATTAGGCTTACATTTAACAAAAAGAGAATCAAGTACTTCAAAACAGTAGCTTCTGTCAGGTAGTTTATTTCTCTTTCCTATTGAAGGAGTCCAGAAGAGTTAGTTCAGGTTTGATGTGACAGGGTAGCAGAGGCTCAGCACCTTTCTAATACCCCTGGCATGTGTACCTTTCATTCCCAAGGTTGCCTCATGGACAAAGAAGGGGATTGGGGCTTTGGCCATCATGCCTATATTCTAAAAGGAGGACGCACATGTCCCAGAAGTAACACATACCCTTCTCACATATAGCCCAGACTTACACACATGGCCACATCTACTCATAAATCTCCCCTCCCCAGTCATCTGTGTGTCCAGCTAAAATCTAAGATTCTTTTGCTCTGGGCAAAGGGGAAAATGGGTTCTGAGAGGCAGTTGGCAGTCTGTCAAGTCTGAGTGCTGCTATTCCTATCCTACAAATGGAGAAATTGAGTCAGAAGAAGTATACAGTATTAGCTTTCTTGTGCTGGGACAGAACACTCAACAGCGCGGCAACCTGAGGGAGGTTTTGTCTGCTAACAGTTTCATGGTCCAGCTCCTGGGTAGAGCTGTCACAGCATAAAGGCATGGAGGAGCAGAGCTGCTCTGTTCATGGCAGGGGAAGCAGAGCAGGGGCAGAGTGCCAGAGCAGAAGATGACAGCGACCAGACTGGGACCCCAAGGCCACGCCCAACCCCCCAGACATTCCCAGAAGTGTGCTCCCTCAGCCACCTGGGCAAACCCCAAAGTCAACCAAGTTGAAATCCCCCTGACTGGCACAGTGCTTGCTTACTCCAATTACTAAGATGTCCAAGCCACATTCAAACCTGTGCTGGTAAAACTTTGGAGCTCTTAAGCTCTACATTGAAGAGCTTCTGCCTTAAAACAGGTTTTTGACTTTATTCTGTCTCAATCACTAAATTGGTAGAAAGAAAAAAACTTTTCTGGCTAAGTTGCTAGGTCAGTCTGTTCAAACAATGGCATCCTTTATTTTACCAAGCATTCTTGGCAAAGGATGTGGTACTGGTATCAACTTGTGCAATGAAGTCTTTACTTCTGCTGACCTTTTGGATAGGTGGATTCACAGAATTCAGTGACAGGCTTGGAAAATTGGCTGGCAGGCAGATTAAAGTCTTATTTTCAGTCTTCTGTGTGCTCAGGGTTACAACAGCTTTAAACTTCATTGAAATATGCTTTGCTGTCCTACTCATGGTTTAGATCTTCAATAACATAATAAAGGTGCGAAGTTTTCAATGAGATAAGTACAAATAAATAGGAAGGAACGACTACTATAGGAAAAATCACAGTAATACTATGATTTGTTTCTTTTAAAGATATATTTTTAAGCTAAGGATATCACATCTTAGACTAAATCAGAGTATATTACTTCTAAGTTATTTGAAAGTTGTTATAGTTGGCTAACATACGGTTCTCTAATGTAGTGAGTGAAAAAATCCAGATTATATAACACATTATGCACAAGGAAATTCTTCCTTTCCTTTCTTTATTCCTCTTTTTGTTTTTCCAGTCCACAAATCTTATTTTCATTCTTTTTCTTAGGTTAAGCTTTGTCCATGTTCTTGTCTTTGCACAGTTTCTGTGGGTTTTTAATCTTTCCTATGCTGGCTTAGCTCTTTGCTTTCTAGTAGCAAGGGAGAAAATATGAATGCAAATGAATAACTCAACAAAAAAGTGAATACCGTGCTTCATAACATGTCCCAGCTTTAGGTTGCTTTGTCCCTTAAAACTTTCAACCTTTTAGAGAACTCTGTAAATTAATCAATACTTCTCACAAATGTGATTAAAATAAATTTTATATATATATATATATATATATATATATCACCTATTCAACAAGTCCTTTATTAACTAACCAGGTAATCCTGGGGACACTGTGTGGCTATTGACAAGTTTAAGAGTTTGATAGTTTTTTAGAAGTCAATAGACAATTTCACTGCTGTGACAATTTATAGAAAAAGCACTTGGAAATGAAGAAACCTGGTAAGAAAGGAGGGAACTGGGGTCACTGCAGGGGTCAAAGTCAGAGGACAGGGGGCAGAGGGCAGAGGCTCCTGCTGATCTGCTGGGCATCTTTGATTCTTTGTAAACATTAAGTGAGGACAGGGCTGGAGACTGGATGATGTGGGCAGAAAGCACAAGTGATTCGTCTCCAATAGATGTCTCACTGACTCCTTTCTGACTGTACTCACATAAGAAATAAACTGGGGCATATTGTTCACTAAAAACTCTATTAGAATAAGGCAATCCCCCATTTTCCAGTGAAAATGGGGGATTGCAAATTTTTCAATTGAAAATTGAAAATTTTCTTTGCCAGGAGTATCTTCAGAGTTTTCCAACCATACTACTTTATTTAAATACTACTTTATTTAATAAGTGTAAAATTCAAGAATTTTGAATATTATAGCCTTGAGTTCAGAAACTTAGTGGAGGCAGATGACAGAGATGCATATTGCTTTGCCTGAGTAATCTCTGTAGGTTTTTCTTAATCTCATTGTGCCTCACTTTCTTTTGATGATAAGTTTGGTGATAAATTGAGTGCTTCACACAGATTATTTCACTTAATTTTTGCAACAATGCTGTAGAGAAACTATTGCTGTTTGTCCAAATCAAAATTGAGAAAGTTATGCTAAAAATCTAAGTAATCCACTATCTAGTAAGAAGTGGAGCTTGGGAGTAATTGTAGTACTTAATGTATACACTTGTCATGAGAACTAAATGAGAAAGATGCATGAAAGGACATTGCTGAAGTGCTATGCACATAATAGACATTAATGATTAATTTCAGGTGGATTCTCACAGCGTGGCTTTCAGAATTTGAAATCACTGTCTGGGCATTTGACAAATTTTTTTTGCCAGAGTTTGTAGTTTATTGAGATGTCTTGAATCATAAACCCTAAATATAATATTTTAGAACTTTTTCTGAAGCATAGTTTATTATTCTATGGTTTTGAATTTATCCCTGAGAATCAAAACTTAAAATATTTTTTTCTATAATAATATATGAATTTTTCTTATGTTTTCTACTGAAAGACAGTGTTCTCTGAATCTGCAGATAAGGACTGGGATTTGTTTTAAATACTTTTTAAAGATAAGTGAGGCCCACATACTATTTATGATATTCTTGATTGTAACAAAACAACAAAACTGATTAACTTGTAAAGAAAACTATTTTATCACATGGCAAGGAGTGTGGAGATCTTCCTTGTCCTGGATCGACAGGGTTGGCCTCATCAGTAAGGACTCAAGTTGTTTCCCTTTTCCTCTGCTCCCATGCTTGATGGGGTGGTTCATCTTCAAGCTTCCTTCTTTGTTATTTCAAGATGGCTGCTGCCTATTGGGACAAAATACAAATATCTGGAAAGAGGATCATTTCCTTCCATGGATCACCTTTTCTTATTGAGTAATACCTTTTCCTAAAGTCTTCATCAGAATTATTCCTGTTGGCCACAATTGTTTCTCATGTCCCAACATAAGTCATTCATTTTGCAAAGGATATGACACAGTACTGATTGGCTCAGACTGATCAAAGTTGAATTTTCTGGGATTGGAGAGAGGTCTATCCCCCCTCAGATAGCATGTCAAGGATAAACAGGACTGAGATTTTGTTAACAAGAAAAGGCAATATAAAGCAAATAATGTTTTGAATGCATAATTTTTTCAGAAAAATTATACTCAGAACAAAAATCTAATACAAAATAAAACATCTTTAAACCACCCACAAATTTAGGTATGACATATATTATTTCATCTAAAATCCGTTCCCTTATTAGTCTTTTGACAAATATGCTTTGACCATTTATTACATGTCAGACACTGTTCTTAGTATGAATGTTAGAGAGCTGAACGAGGGAGACGTGAATGTATTCAGAATGCTTTCAGTTGCAAGGAGCAGAATAGGCAGCCAATGCAATGTATCTTAAACAATAGGGACCAATGGATGGAGGGCTGGTCCAGCGCCTCTAAAATGTTGTCAGGAATCCAGTTTCTTTCTTCTCTGTGTCATTAACATGCTGGCTTTTGCCTTTACACTGTTACCTCATGGTCCCACAGCTTCAAATATGTCACCTGATTTCAAACTGGGGAGAAATGGAAAAGGAACCTCTTTTCTTACTCTTATCCTTTTTACAAAGATTGAAAAAGTCCAAAAGCCACTTTGCCGATTTCCATGAACTCTCCCTGCCAGCTCTGTGTCACACCAGACTCAGCAACAGAAGAATCTGAGAAAGTAATTACCTAACCGGGAGTTAAGGGATGGCACTCACCATCGCCCCAAATAAATGCAGACTGTGTGAGGAGTCAGACTACTCGGATGGTAGTAGGTCACACACGATGTCTCCCATTGTTTCCTTTTTGGAATTAATTCTCTGACTGCTTCATGAAATGATAACAAGCCAGGAGTATTCTTCATCCTCTAATCTTCAGAATTATGTATGAGAAATTTGAATGGTGAGTGCATCTTGGAGTTTGTCTTCGCATATTCAGATAGAAAGGCTGTTGGCTGATGCAAGCTTGACCTGAATTTGGGATGAGATTTTAGGGCTTTATGTGGGCTTATCCTGTGGAGAAGAGATGCTGTAGGGAGGAATGGGCCTTGGGAAGCAGATACTGTGTTAAACATTAGCTGGTTGTGACTCCAGGGTGGAAAGCTCTGTGAGAACAGTGCTGGCTGATTTCCTTGTAGAACCAGCCACGTTTTATTGCCACCATTAGCTTGTTTGTCTAGCTGCTCCTCTAAATAATTAGCTTCCTGAGGGAAGATAACCCTATTTCACTTCACCCAGTGCTGAAGATGGTGACTGGCACAAAAGTAAGTACTCAGTGAAAGTTGAGGGTTGGCATTATCTTCCAGGCAGTGAACTGCAGGGAGAAATGCTCAGATACTTTCTATGAAGGAGTTGAGATGTGAAGTCTTTAAAAAAATAATTCAAAATTGAAAGGTAGTTGAACAATAGAAAGATTAGTGAGCAGCCAGGACTTCTTAAGAGGGGCAATTTGACTCTTAGTTTTTCTTTTTCTGCTTCCCTGTGGAAGAGTGCCTTTGAAATCATGTGGTGTTTGTGCAAATTGCTTGGGTTTACACTGCACAGAATTGGGGCTAAAGGGCAAGTGAGGTGGCTTTCAGAAATAGTCTGTCCAAACAAACATGATTTAGAGCAGTTGCCCATGTGCTGTGCCACTTTTACAGCACCGCGGGCAACAGTGACGTACTTTATTGCGTCCTGAGCCGCCTCCTCTGTGTGAGAGGAGCCTGCAGCAGCTCTAGGGGGTGTTGACTTTGCTTCTTTATTTCTTCCAAAAGTTCAAAACATGCTTTAATTTTCCCAATCTTAACTTTTACCAGATGCCTTATTAGATTGTTATTATATTAGGAATTTACACTTCATGGATGATGTTGCTTGGCGATAATTCTCACACACTCATGCTTCAGAAGGTCAGGGGACTCTCCTGCAGGAGGAGGGCTCTTTGTGCACTGGCCAGGCCAGGCCAGTGCAGAGGCGGGTGGGACCCCAGGATCCTAGCCCACCCTAGACCTTGGCCAAGTCCATTCATCAGCTGCCACTCAGTTTCCGCACCTGGAAAACAGTGTGTGCGACATGGTCTCTGACGACTGCTGTTATCTCTAAAATTTTATGAGTAGAATGTAACAAATGCCTGTATGTATCAGAACTGAAAAGGATTAAAGGATCACATTCACCCTACAATTACGTTTATCATCACATCTTTCAAAATGATATTTTCTTTTTATAAATTATTATAGCTTACATTTAAGAAGATACGACGGGTGGAGATGTAGCTCAGTGGTGGAGTGGTTGCCTAGTATGCAGGAGACCTCAGCACAAAAAGAAAGAAAGGAAGAAGAGAGAGAGAGAGAAAGAAAAAAGGAATGAAAGAAAAATAGGCTGAGTGAAGCTGTACATGTCTGTAATCCCAGCTTCTTGGGAGGCTAAAGCAGGAGGTTCACAAGTTTAAGGCCAACCTGGACAATTTAGTGCGACCCTATCTCAAAATTAACACTCGGTAGATTTATTTTAATGTCTTTTTTTTTTTTTTTACAGATATACAGCATGCATATACATAATTGAGATCATTCTGCATACAAAGTTTTGAACCCTTTATTCCATTAAATTGTACATTGTGAGCACTTTGCTATCCAATGAAAAATCCTTTCCTTTCTCACAAAAATTCATATTGTTAAATATACATAAATAAAAAACCTGCACAAAAAATTAGTGTAAGGTGAACACTCACCATCCCCTCTCTCAGTAGCTAGAACCTCCCCAGTCCCCAGAAACACACTTAATGTAACTATCTTCCTCTCACTGAAAGTGATTGCTCTACTCACTTTAATCATTTCCTTTTTGATATTTTTGTCACCTAGTGTACATCTCTAAACATTATCATTTATTATTGCCTGAGAATATAATTTGCAATGAATGTTTATTTTTCCATCATATAAACATACATAAATACACACAAGTATACTTTATTGTATTATTTTCTTTCCTTCTTGGCAGTTTATTTTTTATCTTTTTTTAAACTGGGGATTGAACCTAGAACCTCAAACATGCTTGGCCAGTGGCCTACCACTGAGTCACTGAGTTACCTTTTTAAATTTTTAAATTGTAAAGGGTCTTGCTAATTTGCCCAAGCTAGCTTCAAACTTGTGATCTTCCTATCTCAGGCTCCTAAGTAGCTGGAATTACAGGCATATTCTACCGTGTTGGGCTCAAATTTGATCTTTTGAGTAGATATCTTTCCACATAATATAAAATTTTAAAGTTTCAAATGGAAACACAGTGCAAAACGTACTCCTACTTCTCTCCCCACCTAGCTATCTCATGACTAGTTTCTAGCCTAGTTCTTTTTGGGAAAAAGAGCTTAAGAATGATGTTATATTTTTGCATTTTTAATGTCCTAAGTGGAATTCCTAAGTAGGTACAAAAATATAATTCTTAGAACAGCATTACCAAAGTTAATTTTTCTCTTATATGAAATTGGAATAATTTGTAGAGTAAGTTATATGGGTTCACCCTTGGACTGATTAACTTTGTAGCTTTGAACAATTATGTGTGCCAGATGTAAAATAACCAAAAAGGGAGATAAGGATAAAACTCAATGTTAATAGTGCTCAGGTATTTTACTTCATTTTACTATGGAGCCTAGAGATGCAAATTATTTTGTCTCTTAATACAATGGAAAAGTTAATCAGTTTGTTATCCTTTACTCCAGCAGATCCATAAATAATGTCATAATGATAACACATGAATGACTAGAGAAATGACTACTTTCTAATCTGCCTGAGCACCCACCATTTTTATTTATTTATTTATTTGGGTGCAAGAAACAAAAACAAACTCTGCTTACCTTAAAACAACAACAACAACAACAACAACAAAAGAAATTTTTCTTGAAGGATTCAGCTACTCACTGGTAGAAAGGCTAAAGGAGCAGGCTTTGAATTGCATACAGCCAACACACCTTAGGAGGTCTAAGAACTGAGGATAAGGAGAATGGTCTCATATCAAAGGTGCCTGTGGATAGTTCACTAGAGTCTTATGTTCCTGATCACGGACCAGGAGACTACCTGGTTAGAGTGACTGGTCATGATTGTATCAGATACAGTGAGTGCACATTTGGATGGATGCACCTGCAGACTTACAGTGGAAATGGAACACTTCTCTCAAGTCTGAACAAGGCCCACAGGCATGAATGAATCTCATGCACATGTATCTTACACCTATGTGTCACCCTCTCTGTTGTGGCCATGCCCTGCCCTCTCTGAGGCTCGGGGCCTCCTGGGGGAGGAATGTGGGTAGCTTCCTGGGACCAAGTGTTAGAAGAAGAGATAGCTTGGTCCTAGTCTCCATATGAATCCTCAGTGCACATCAGTGCTCATGGGAAGTGGACCGGCACCACATGACAGTCCTGCCCGAGGATGGAGGGACAGCCTGGCAAAGCACTTCCCCGTACACCTGGCTGTGGGTAGTGGAGATGGACCTCCATGTAGTGTGGAGAGAGAAATGCACTTTGGCTTCCATGTTCGCATGCTATGAGGAAGGCAGGGGTGGCTGTCTGGCTTGTCAGGGGCCTGGCAGAGTGGGATTGGAAGGCTGTCTTCGTGAGGCATCTACATGTCCTCTTGGGTCTCCTGCCTGCTCTTCCTCAGGCTTCTGCCCCTCCACAGTGGCTGCTGCAGGATCTTGGGGACACGCATGAGGTCGTGCCTAGGAATTGTGCCTCAGCCTCTGTCCTGTGGGGAACTAAGCTGAAGAAAAAGCTCAGCGAAATATTGGAAGGCAAAAAAGGCTTCTGACTTAATATGCATGCTTTACTCTAGCAGTGAGACCTGTCCAGAGATAGCTCACACTGTTTTTATGACTTTTATTGACTGGAGCTATTTATGTTGTTTGCATCTATAGAACTTCGACTCATTCTCTTATTGGAGAAAGAAAATGGAAAGAAGCTTGTCCAAATCACTTCTGATAGCTTTCAAGTACACCACTTCTCTGAAAACATCTCTGCCAAGTCAACCATTTATAAAGTAACCAGGCTAGTCGTCAGACACAGAAACTGTCTGAGCAGACTGGATAAGAAAATTGCCTCATCCACGAAACAAGAAGATACCTCATTCTTTTTGCCCTGAGAAAAATCAATATGTAATCAAAATTTTTATTTGTTTCTTAAAACTACCCAGAAGGTTGAATTTAACTATTTCTCATCCTGCCAGCTGTGTCAAACACCTCAGCAGAAATTGTAAGTACCTCTCAAAGTGTTTCTCCCACTCTGCTCTGTGACAAGTCTGAAGCTGGGAAGGGTCTTCTTTTGTTTAGCTTTTGGCACGACTCCTTTTAAGGACTTTCAAGACACTCTGTGTTACACTGAAAATAAAACATGGCGAGACCTTTTCATTAGAAAGGAGAAAAGAGAGTGATATTCTTTTGCTTACTTCATAGTACTGTATTGTGGAGTGGGTTTATAATCATAAAGTGGAAAAATGAAATTACTAGAATGGGGGGGACAAAATACAGGATGAGGTGAGCATTTTGGATAGTAAAGGAGAACAAAGGGGAGAAGGGGGGGCCGTGGCCATGGTGGCAGCTAGGCCAGTTGCTGGTGTGACGATGAAGACAGAATATGTGGCAAACCACCTTCTCGTCAAATCAGCTGGTTGTGTTGCCCCTCAGCAGCCCAGAGAGAACTCTGTTCATAAACTGATTTCCTCATGTGGCCCTTAAAGCTCTGCACCACTGTGAACCCAGGCTTGAGTGAAGCCTACTTGGCCCCTTCACATTTCAGCAACTGAAGTTATCAAGCAATAACAAGCGACTTCCTGGGTTTTCAGGTTGGTCTTGGAGGATTATTTTATTTGTGAATTGAAAATAGATAAGACAATTTATAAAGTGGTTAAGATGATGCATTGGCACCTGCAATCCTGTCATTATTTTGAACTCAGCCTGGCAGACTTGCATTCAGAAGCCCTACACCTTTTTTACTAGGGTTGAGTACATGATCAAATTGTTCGACTTGTTGAGTACATGATGGAATTTAGATCTTGAGGAGGAGATTAAGGAGAGGAAAAAATCTCTTCCATTCCAGAGAAGAGATCCTGGAGTTTTGCCACCGTGAATCATCTCTGCCATCTCCAAATGCCAGACTGGGGATAGTCTGTCTTGGAATATTTTACATCTGATTCTGCAGCCTTCTTCCAGATCACACAGGCTGACATCTTTCAGTGAGTTTCTTCTGAAAAACTGTGCTGTTTGTGTCTGTAGAACTTTGACTCATTCAAAAAGTGTACCTTACCAGCTAGCAAGGTTAAAGGAAAATTGTTTATACTTGTGATATAAGCATTATAGTACCACAGTTAGAAGTTATACATTAACTACTTAGCACTTATTTTTAAAAGCCCATAGAGAATATTTACTAATGATAAATACAATGATTTTTTGGGAGGGTGTTTGAGACAGGGTCTCACTGTGTAGTTCAGGGTGACCTTAAACTCACTATGCAGCCCAGCTTGACCTCAAACTCTCAGTGATCCTGCTGCCTCAGCCTCCCCAGTGCTGGGACTACAGGGATGTGCCACCACACCTGGTTATAAATACAATGATTTTTATGAAGAAACAAGAAAGGTGTTATTGAACAAATAAACTGGAAATATACTTTTAATAATGATTTTATGGAAATACATGAAATAGATGACTTAATAGTTGTTTAAAAAATATCTGACATCAAGAGAGATTATGTTAAGGTGCAAATTTCCAATGATGAATGTCATTATATTGTATACCTAAAATATACCAATAATATCAATTTAAAAAAGTTAATCTGTAGCAAAAATATCTGACATCAATTAATCTGGATTTCTGCAGGATCTATTGTGATTTCAACCTTTTAATTTCTTTTTTCTTTTTAACTTATGTGTATTTGTTACCTCTTAAAGCAGAATGTGACCTGGGCAGTTCATTAACGTTTTCATTTCTAATTGTATGAATTTGAGTCTTTTCTTTCATTTTCTTTTTGATAAGGTCAGCTAAGGGTTTGTAAATTTTATTTAATCTTTCAAAGAATCAACTCTTCAATTCACTGATTCTTTGTATTGTTTTCTTAGTCACTATTGAATTAATTTCTGCTTTGATCTTTATTATTTCCTCCTCAAATAATATATCTCAAGCTTTGGGCTTGACTTGCTGTTTTTTTCTAGAAGCTTGAGGTTCAACATTAGGTGTTTATTTGAGCTCACTCTACTTTTCTAATATGGGAGTGTACTACTATAAATTTCCCTCATAGGACTGCTTTCATTGCATCCCATATGTTCTGATATGTTGTACTGGCATTATTGTTTAATTGTAGAAATTGTCTAATTTCTTTAATTTCATCTGTGTCCCTTTGATTGCTCAGGAGGGTGTAATTTAATTTCCATATATTTATGAAGTTTTTGTGGTTTGTTTTGCCATTGATTTTCAATTTCATTTCACCATGGTCTGATGGTATGGATGGCACTATTTCAGTTCCTTTGCATTTACTTAAGCATGTCCTATGAGCTAGTATGTGGTCTATTTTGAAGAATGTCCCATGTGTAGCTGAGGAGAATGTGTATTCTGTTGTAGTTTGGTAGACCACTCTATAAAGATGTACTAAGTCCATTTGTTCAAAAGTTTGGTTCAGTTCTGATATTTCTTTGTTGATTTTTTGTCTAGTTGATGTGTCTACTTATGATAGTGGGATATTGAGGTCCTCATTACAATTGTATTGGTGTGTATTTGATTTTTCATGGCCATGTTTTAATTTGTTTTATATAGTTGGGTGCACTGGTATTTGCACCCAACTGATCGTTATCTCTTTCTCTTGGATTCTTTCTTTTATAAGTATGTAAGTGAACTTCTTTGTCTCTCTTAATCTGCCTTGGCTTGAAATTCACTTTGTCTGCAAATAGAATGGTTACCCCTGCTATTTTCTGGGTTCCTGTTGCTTAAAGTATGTTTTCCATCCTTTGACTTTCAGTGTATGAATTTCTTTTTGAATTAAATGTGTTTCTAGAGTATAGCATATTGTTGGATCTTGCTTTTTGAACCTTTCTGCCATTCTGTTTCTTTTGATTGGTGAATTGAGTCCATTTATGTTGATGGTTATAACTAATACATATTGACTTCTTGTCATATTATTTTCCTATTGTTGATTCCCTTTTTTTCTCCCTCTGTTTAATTGGTTGCCTTGCATGATGGATTCATTCTGGTAAAATTCAAGCAGCACCACTAAACCCACATGCCAAAATCTTCTGAAGGACATTCTAGAACATGAATTTCTTCAGGTGTTCTTTATCATGGAAGTATCTTGTTTCTCCATCAATTTTGAAAGATAGTTTTGCAGTATACATCAATCTGGGCTGGAGATTGTTTTCTTTTTGAGCTTGAATTACTTCACTCCAAGCTTTCCTTGATTTGTGGGTTTGTGTTGAGAAGTCTGATGTGATTCTGATGGATTTTCCTTTGTAGGTGATTTGTTTCTTTTGTTTAACAGCTTTTAATATTTTGTTCTTGTGTTGAATTTCTGGAATCTTGATTATTATATGCCTTGGTGAACTTTTTGTTTTAGTTATGGCTAATTGGAGTTCTGTGTGCCTCACTTATCTGTATGTCAAATTCTTTTTTCATGCTTGGAACATTTTCTGCCATTACTTCTATTAACCGATTTTTTAATGCCATTTGTGCTAACTCCTGCTTTTTCATTGACTCAGATCAATCTTATGTTATTCTTCTTTGCATCAGTTAGCAGCTTTTGGATTGATCTTTCATGGTCCCTTGCTATTTTAAAGAAATCTTTCTTTTCATGATCACTACCCACAATCCTGTCTTCTATATCTGATACTCTGTCCTCACATTAGCTCATTCTGCTGCATATACTTTCAATAGAATTTTTAATCTCCTGAATATCTGTTTGAATCTATTTCATGGATTCAATTTCTTTCTTATGCTGGGCATTCGTAGTTTCCATCATTTTCCTAAGCTCCTATATATTTTTTTACCTACATTTGCTATAGCGTCACTAAACATGACTTTAATTATGATCACCATCTCTGTAGTTATCTGAGGAATTATTTCTGATTTTAGTTTTTCTAGAGCCTCATTTATCTGTTTTGTTACTTTTCCACCATTACCACTTCAGAGTCCCATGTGGGTGGCTTTTAAATTATTCCACTTCATTGCTCCCTTGTTTTGCGTTTGGTGACTGGAATTCTGGGGTTGTATCTTGCTTAGGTGTCTTTTCTTTTTTCTTTTTTTTTTTGTTTAATTCCTGGGTTGATGCTTATAAATTGGTTATGGCAGGTAGCTTTATTACTAGTATTTATAACCCTTAGGAAATGACTATTTCTCAGAGATATCTTCCAGGTATAGTTGGTTTTTGGGTTTTGCGTCTGTTGCAAATCATATGTTTTCAATTTATTTGGGATGAGATATTTCTACATATTTGAGCTAGCCTCTAGTTCTTTGGCACTGGCCTATAGTATTATTTCCCAACCTTACACAATCTCATTCTTGACATACTAGGAAGAACGACTGATAAGAACAGTTATCTCACCTTGGCTAAAATAGTACAATTAGCAATAATAGTAGCATCTAACACAACCTAGAAAATGACAAACTGTGGTGGTAACTATTAATTTGACATCTTTAACTATACGAACTATATCTGTGTTTATATAACAAAATCCAAAACCACGCAGAAAATTCTATACAGTAAATATGCCCTTAATATTTTATCCTTTGAGGAAAAAATTTAAAAGGGGTAAGAGGAAAAATAGAGAAATAGGAGATGAGGAAGAGATTAGAAGCAAGGTTGGAGGACAAAGGAAGATTCTTGGAACTTTGGATAACTGGGTGAAGAAGACAGAAGGGAAAAGGAGAGGGAAGAAATAAAAATAAGAACAGAACAGAAAACAACAAAAAGAAAACTAGAAGTAATGTTTGCACTTATACAAAAACAAGAACAGACAATCAAGAAATAAAGAGAAGAAAAAAACATAAAAAACGAGAAAAGAAAAAAAAGAAAAAAGTCTACTTCAGGGTGTGTCTGTGCTGTAACTGGTAGACAGAGTGGGCACATAGAGCTCAGATCCACGTTGATTAATCCCAGCAAGCCAGCAGTAGATTTATGGCAGTGTAATGGATAATCCCAGCAAGCCTGCACCCTTAGTTCTACCAAAGTTCAGGATGCTTTTCTGCTGTGAGGCTGGAACCTGATTTGTTCAGGCTGTAACACTCTGTGTGCCTTCTCCTGGCTTGTACTTGGCTTTCTGCCATTTTCAACTCAGCTCCTTGACTTCCTGCTGACTTGAACTTTGTTCCACCTCACCCTTACTGGGAGCTGCTAGATGGAGCCAGCCCACAGCTGTTCTGAGTTCCGAGCTCAGTTGGCCTCTTTCCAAGATGGCTACCAGCCAGTTACCCTCTCCTGGGGGACATCTGAACCTGAATAACTCACCAGCCACTGCAGTCTGCTGTGTCCACTGTTCTGTTCCACTGGTGTGTTTCTCCAGGTAGGCCTCTGAGGTCAATAGTAGTCACTGTGTGTCTGGAGGTTCGAGCTTCCCTTCCCAAGTAATGAGTCATGGCTCAGGGAAAAGGGGCCGCTTGCCACCTTCTTCTTCTTTTTCTTCATTGAAGTGTCTCTTTTCACTCTCCTCATGAGCTTAAGTTTTTGCTTCAGATCCTTGCTAGTTCCCAGGAACCCACTTCTCCCCTTCTCTTCCTCATGTTGTATTCCACCGTCTGGACATCAAATCTCAGAGAGGCCGTTTCTCTGCTGTTCACCACTCTACCATCTTTGCAGAAGTAGTGACCACCCACAGATTCAGACGTGGAAGAGTACAGAGGCTCTGACTGCACACTGGAGATCTGAAGGATCCAGTTGACAGTCTGGAGCTCAGTGCAGTGTCCCATGCGAGTCCATATCAGGAGGCTGATGGGTCTTGACATGAATTTTTTTAAAGCATATATTTTAGGTAGAGGCTAAAGAAAACAAATGAATACATTCTACATAAACTCAGGTATCAAAAGACCTTATGGTACACAACTGCTATCCTGTTTTCCCTGTCTCTTTATTTGCTGTACAATCTTGTCAGTACTACTCATTCCATAATCATGTTCCACTGTTGGAAAAAGCTTCCAATAATGTTCCCTGATCAGTTCCTTTTTTTTTTTTTTCTGTTCCCTGACCACATCAACTTTTGTAAATTAGCAGTTACCTTGGCTGGCTCAGCAGGAGCCACACAGCCGCTCTGCTTGTTTCCCTGTGCTTTCCTACCATGTCCATCA